TTTCTAGTCATTCATTCATCTTTTGAGAATGATTTATGCAGGGTCTATTCTGGATATATAAGGCACTGGTGATACAGAAGTGACCGAGAGATATGAAACTTCCCTCAGAAAGTTCACAGTCCAGAAACTGACTGAAACAAATAGGCAGACAATTACAGAACAGAGTGATGTGAACTGTGGGAAATTTACTCTGGGGACTGAGAAAGAGCTGCATCATACTATGGGCATCACAGGAGGCTTCTTGGACCCCGTGACATCTGAACCAAAACCTCAAGGAGGATTAGGCAACTAGTCAAACATAGGAAGCAGGATGAGTAGAGAGGCAAGAGAGAATTTTGCTCAGAAAGTGGACCACAGTCTACTGGGATAGGAGGAAAGCCAGAGGTGCAGGTGGAGGGGTAGGCAAGGGTAAATCCAGTCATTTTCCTGCTTAGAACCTTCCAATGGCTCCCCATTAGCCTCAGGAAGAAGTTCATACTCCTTAAAAATGAGGATGGAGAGGTGAGGGTGAGGAGCATCATCATCTGGCCCTCCCCCAGTCTCATTTTTCACTTCTTCTGCTCTACTCCATTGCTTCACCATCCTGAAGTTCCCTGTTTGCACCAACTGTTCCTTCCACTTTTTCCAATGCCTGCTGAGATCTCCCAGAGTGGAATCCATAGTCCCTTCTATGGGGTTCCATGCTGCACTGGGCTTGCCCTCATTGAAACAGATCCCACAGCATGCTGTAATGTACGCTCTTTTGGCCAATCTGTCTTCTGCTCCAGAGTGTGAACACCCTTGGAACAGGACTCTATCTTTGTCTCTGCTGTACCCTCAGGGCTTGACACAGTGTGTAAGTCGTAACTGTCTGGTGATGAGTAATGAAGGGTTAAGGCAACCATGATACATCACCTCAAAGGACACTACTCAGCTGTCAAACATTCATGTTGTTGTTGTGTTGTTAAGTGCCGTTGGGTCAGACCTGACTCATAGAGACCCCTCCTTGGGTTTCCAAGGTGGTATCACTATGGAAGTAGATTGCCCAGTCTTCTTCTGAGGAGTGGCTGGTGGGTTTGAACCGCCAGCCTTCTGGTTAGTAGTCAAGTGCCTTATGCACTACACTACCAGAGCTCCTTCAAACATTCATGGCAGTTATGAAACAACATGGAAAAGGCTGGAGATAAAATATTAAGTGAAAATTCAGTGTATTAAATAACATATATATGATTGGAGCCTCATGAAAAAAGGCAAGCTAAGAAAAAGAAAAGAACAGCAGCAAAACGTTAACAGCAATTGCCTTTGGGTCACAGGTTTCTGGGGATATTTTTTTCTTCATTTTACTTTTCTGGGCTTCCCAAAATTTACTTAATATGTACTGTGCATAATAAAATTATTATATTAAAAATAGAAATATGGCAGATACCAGGGTTTGGGGGAGGTTTGTGGCTTTTACCTTGAGGTGGACATCATCCATCAGGGCCAAGAGAAATGTGTAGAGGTTCCCCAAGAAGAGCGCAAAGATGCGCCCCAGCTGCCACTTGAGTCCAATGCGTGGGTGGTAGTTCTCCAGGGCTGCAATGGTTTCAAAGAGCGGTGGGCAGAACATCCCGAGCAGAGACATCACAATCTCTACCTGAGGAATGAAGAAAGCAGGGGTCACTTGTGCAATCATTATCTCTTGCTTAGCCACTGCTCTTGAACTGACAGGTCCATCCATCTCCATGTCCCTACTGTCCCCCTCCCCCAC